CAGGTCCTGGGCTTTTGTTTTTGAGACGGTTTTTGATTACCATTTCAATTTCGCTGCTTTTAATTGGTCAGTTAAGGTGTTCTATTTCTTCTTTATCTAGCTTTGGGTGATTGTAGAGTTGTAGGAATTTGTCCATCTGCTCTAGATTGTTGACCTTGTTTCCATATAACTCTTCATAGTAGTTTCTTATTATTCTTTTGAATTCTGCTGTGTCCGTTGTGATTTCTCCTCTTTCATTTGTGATCCTGTTTATTTGTGCTTTCTCCCTTTTTTCCTTTGTGAGCCTGGCTAGGGGTTTGTCTATTTTATTTATTTTTTTTGAAGAACCAGCTCTTGGTTTCATTGATCTTTTGGGTTTTTTTTTTTTTTTTTAGTTTTGATTTCATTTATTTCTGCTTTGGTTTTTATCATTTCTTTTCTTCTGCTGATTTTGGGGGTTTTTTTGTTGTTCTTTTTCTAGTTCTTTGAGCTTTGAGATTAGGTTGTTTCTTTGAGTTCTTTCTTGTTTCTTGATGTGAGCTTGTATTGCTATATATTTTCCTTTTATTACTGCTTTTGCTGCATCGCATACATTTAGGAAATTGGTGTCCTCCTTGTCATTCAATTCAAAGAATTTTTTAATTTCTTCTTTGATCTCCTCATTAGTCCAGTGGTCTTCTAGTAGTGTGGATTTCAATCTCCATGAGGTAGGAGAGTTCCTTGCCTTCTTTTTATGGTTTATTTCTAGTTTGATGCCTTCATGGTCAGAAAAGATGATTGGTATGATTTCAATCTTGGTGTATCTGTTGATGTTTGTCTTTTGTCCCATTATGTGATCAATCCTGGAGAATGATCCGTGTGCACTTGAGAAAAATGTCTACTCAGATTTTTTGGGGTTTAGTGTTCTATAGATGTCTGTTAAGCCCAAGCGCTCTAATGCTTATTTAGAGCTTTAGTGTCTTTCCTTATTTTTTGTCTCATTGATCTATCCATTGTTGATAGTGGTGTGCTGAAGTCTCCCACTACGTAGGTGTTTTCTCTGATGTCTGTTTTCAAAGATGATAATAGTTGTCTGATATATTTGGGTGCTCCTTTGTTTGGTGAATATATGTTAATGAGTATTATTTCTTCTTGAAGTATTTTCCTCTTGATCATAATGTAGTGACCGTTGGGGTCTCTTTTTACGTTTTTGAGTTTGAAATGTTTTAAGTGATATAAGTATAGCTGTTCCTGCTTTCTTTTTTGGTCCATTAGCTGGTAGGATTGTTTTCCATCCTTTAACTTTGAGCCTATTTTTATCTTTTGTAGCTAAATGTGTTTCCTGGAGACAGCAAAAGGTTGGGTTTTGTTTCTTAATCCAGGCTGCAACTCTGTGTCTTTTTATTGAAGAGTTTAGTCCATTTACATTTAGAGTTAGTATTGATATGTTAGCATCTGTATTTGCCATTGTGTTTGTCTTTCCTTTGATTTTATATAATTATTCTTTAAATAACTTTTTTTTGGCCTTCTTTCGTTGTTATTCATCCCTCTGAGGTTCTGGCTGTAGGACTCCTTGTAGTATTTTTTAGAGTGGTGGTTTAGTCATAATGAAATTCCAGAGTTTCTGTTTGTCTGGGAAGGTCCTTATTCTTTCTTTCTTACCTTTTTTTTTTAAAGAGGCATGTATTTTTATTTATTTATTATTTGTTTGTTTGTTTTGTTTTTACATGCACTGGGTACAGTCAGAAGCGCGGGAGCGTGAGAGAATTCTCCAGAGCCAGAGCGGGGAGCAGAGCAGGCAGGAGGACTGAAGTACACTGCTGAGGGGATCAGCGGGTGGCAGGAGAGGTCTGCGCGCCATGTGGGACCCTCCTCTGGTGGTCGGGGAGCTGCGGGGATGGATCTGGTGCTGCAGATGCCGCGGGCAGCTTCACAACCCAGCGCTCAACCGCTGCGCCACCGGGGAGGCCCACCTTATTCTTTCTTCATCGAGGAAGGAGAGCTTTGCGGGATAGACTATTCTTGGTTGGCATCTGTTTTCTTAGAGTCTGTTAACTATGTCCCTCCACTCTCTCCTTGCCCGTAGTGTTTCTTCGGAGAAGTCTGATGTCAGTCTTACTGGTTTTCCTTTGAATGTTATCTGTTTCTTCCCTCTTGTCAGCTTCATTATTTTTTCCTTGTCCTGGATTCTTGGGAGCTTTACTATTATGTGTCTTCCTGTATTTTTCCTTTCGTCATGGAAATTTGGTGTTCTTCTTGCTTCTTGTATATCAATTTTCAGCTCCTTCTTCACGTTTGGGAAGTTCTCTTCAATTACCTCCTTGAATATTTTCTCTGTTCCTACATCTCTCTCCTCTCCTTCTGGGATTCCTATAACTCTTATGTTTCCTTTTCTCATGGAGTCAGATAGTTCCCGATGTCTTTCTTCAGTCTTTGTCCTTTGTACTTCTCTTTCCTTTTCTGTTTTGGTTCTTTTTATTTCTGTGTCTTCAAGAGTACTTATTCGTTTTTTCCATTTCATCTATTTTGCTTTCATTGCTTTTCCCAGAGTTCTTTAGTGCCTCCATTAATTCTTTGATCTCCTGCATTTCTTTTACTTCCCTCGTTAGGGACTCAATTTCATTCTTCTGACCATTGTTTTCCTTAATTACTTCCATCAGTTTTTTCATCACGGCAATTTTAAGTTCTTTTTCTGGAAGGCTCAGAAGTTCTTCCAATTCACCATAGTTGCAAGCTGGTGGTTTTTTTTTTTTTTGTGCTGTCTTTTTTCTGAGGCAATGCTACTTTTCTTGTAGTTTTTCTTTTCCCTGCTGCCTGTCTTCTAATTTTCCTTATGCATTGGGACACTGTGATGATGGTTCTAGCTGGCATCTTTTTGGTGTGTTCTTTTGGGAGTTTCAGAAACTGGCAATCCAAATGAGTCAAAATCTGTTATGCCAGAAGTCTAGTGAGGCAGTGGTACTTTGTGTATGTTAATGGTCACTGTCACAGAATCTCTCCTCCTTCTGTGTTTAGTTACAAAGGTGCATCTTGAAGTCCCACAGACTTCCCTGGAGGTGGGGCACCTGGATTGCACTGTGAATTCCAAAACTCTGGATCCTCTTCTGGGTGCCAACTTCCTGCCAGTTGGGATCGTGCTTGTGGATGCCTTCAGCTCACCTCTGACTGCACAGGGAACCTTCTCCCTCTGGCTCCACAGGGAGCCTTCTGCCAGATTCAAGCAGTCTTTATTGAAGAAAGGTCCCTGTTCTAAATTGGCGCTTTGGAGATAGGCACACTCTTCTGCATGCCCAGTCTGCCCTGGCCCTGGGTGCCCACTCCCCCTCTGGGTTTGGACTGCTGGCCAGAAGGGGCCTGGCCTGGGCGAACCTCCCAGCTCACCTCTGGCCCTTTGGGAGCCTTCTGCCAGTTTCAAGCAGTCCTTATTGAAAAAAGGTCCCTATTCTAAAATGGCAATTCAGAGACAGGCACACTCTTTGGCACGCCCGGTCTGCCCTGGCCATGGATGCCCGCTCCCCCTCTGGGCTTGGACTGTTGGTCAGAAGGGGCCTGGCTTGGGCGAAATTTCCAGCTCACCTCTGACTCCTCTGGGAGCCTTTTGCCCCTTTCAAGTAGTCTTTACTGAAGAAAGGTCCCTATTCTATGGGGTGTTGGTGATTTTTTTCTGGTCGCTAGGTGGCACCAGAGATCTCTCCTAGTGTCCTTGGGGAGCTGTATTTTTTTTACTCCGTGAGACAGGGGAACAGAGTGGGAGTGGTGGGGAAAGCCTCAATGGCTTTGGGGTGTTGTGTCTGCCTTGTGCCCCACTGTCGTGGGGATCCCATGCCCCGAATTTCGTGCCCTGGGTCTCAGTTCCAAAGCCCTCAGGTCCAGGACGCAGGCTGTAGCCCAGTTCAGTGTCCACAGAAATGGTGCCTTTTGCACCCGGCTCCCTTTCCGGGCACCTGGTTTCTGATTACTCAGTGAGGGACGTTCACCTTAGAGAGGGCCCCCATGCGTCTCAGTGCAAGCCTAGGTTGCAGGCGTGGGGACCTGGGCAGCCGTGATCCGCATATGCTTATCAAGGGCACCGCTTTTCCAAACAAGCTTACCGGCTGGCCTGGGGCTGTTTGTAGTTCTCCGGGAGTCTGCTGGAGCCGTTCACTTACCTCCATGGTGAATCCTGCAGGGTTCTCCACAGCTCCAGTTCATGGGGTGTGGTCGCTGAAATAGTTCCTTTCCACTCACAGTCCCTCTTGATGCATAGTTTGTTTTTCTTGGTTGTTTTAGTCTTTTTGTTGTTATTCTCATTTCTGTTGATTGGAGAGTGCCGACTTTGTGGATAGGGGAGGGTAGCTGGGTTCTGAGCTTTCCTCCCTTCTAGTTCTCTTTTATGTAACTTTCTTCATTGGGTAGTTTGCTGGAGTCACCCATTTATCTTCCGTTTCCCAGTTCTTACTGGGACCTGATGCTTTTCCTCCTTATTAACTTTTTTTTAATGGGAGATCTTACTTGCAGCATCTCCTCACCGCCATGTTGATCCACCCCTCCGAAGATCAGGATTTAAGCCTCTTTCCTATTTTTTTAAGATTGATTTTTTTATTTATAAAAGCACTGGGTACAGTCAGCAGTGCGGGAGAGTGAGACAATTTACCAGAGCCAGAGGTGGGAGCAGTAAAGGCAGACTGATGAAACACAGGACCCTCACTGGTGGCCGGGGATCTAAACAGTGCTGCAGAGACTCCGGGAAGCTTCAAGTCCAGCACTCAACCACAGCGCCACCAGGGAGGCCCTCCCCTTTTCAATTTTTAAGGAATTAAGGTCAAGCATACGTTTTTGGGGGGTCATGGACCCTCTGTAACCATGGGGGTATGGGGCCCTAAGCCCCCTAGGGGGTCCAGGGACCTCTACCCGTTGGGGAAGTGGGGCCCACTTCCCCCTTGGGGACACCTGCACCCTCCGCTTGCACTCATACACCCAGGGGCAGGCCAAGCAACAGAACATGTCCTGGGGGGAGGGGCGGGGTCACTGTCAGGGAGGGCAACATCTGTAGCCATAGACAAGCGGTGACCATGGCCTCTTCCAAAACAGCAGACAGGCCGATGCAGAAAGCACTGGGCAACCCGGCACCACTCAAAGGGGAAGAGTCCTCACCTGGTCCAGCAGCGCTGATGAGTCCCAGGCTCTGCCCCCCGGCCAGAGCCTGACCTCGCCCAACCAACTGTACATGCCCAAAGGTGCATTTTTCAGGGCCGCCGGTAGGGGGTGCTGGTGAGGGTGTTCGGGACCCTCAACGACCTTGGGGGTAGGGGACCCTCTTCCCCCATGGGGGAACGGGGTGCTCTTCCCACTTTGAGGAACAGAAAATCTTCCCCCTGGGGGACACCTGCACAGTCCTCTCGCACTCACACTCCCAGGGGCAGGCCGTGCGCCCGATGATGCCCTAGACAGAGGGGCTGGGTCACTGTCAGGGAGGGCACACCCTGTAAGACACAGACAAGTGGTGAAAGCGGCCTCTTCCAAAACTGCAGACAGGCCAATGCAGAAAGCCCCCGGCAACCCAGCACCACTCAAAGGGGAAAAGTCCTCACCTGGCCCAGCAGAGCTATGAGCAGCAGGCTCCACCCCCGACCGGAGCCTGACCCTGCCCAAACGACTGCCCATGTGCAAAGATGCATTTCTCATGGCCGCCGGTAGGGGTCGCTGGTGAGGGGGGAGGTCAGAGGACCTCAACCCCTTTGGGGTAACGGGACGCTCCTCCACCTTGGGGAAACAGTAAATGTTCCCCCGGGGGACACCTGCACCCTCCTCTCAAAATTCACACCTCCAGGGGTAGGCCATGCACCCGAAGAGGGCCCAGACGGAGGGGTGGGTTCACTGGCAGGGAGTGCATCCCCTGTAAGCCACAGACAAGCTTCGACCGTGGCCTCTTCCAAAACTGCAGACATACATGCTGACGTGGAAAGCCCCCGGGAACCCAGCACCACTCAAAGGGGAAGAGTCCTCACCTGGCCCGGTAGTGCTAATGAGCCCTAGGCTCTGCCCATGGACGGAGCATGACCCCGCCCACCCAATTGCTCATGCTCAAAGGTGCATTTTTCAGGGCCACCTTTTGGGGGCGCTGGTGAGGGTGGGGAGATCGGGGTCCCTCAGCACCCTTAGGGGTCAGGGTACCTCTACCCCCATGGGGAAATGCGACCCTCCTCCCCTTAGGGGAACAGTAAATCTTACCCTTGGGGCACACCTGCACCCACCTCTCGCACTCACACCCAGACGGGCAGGCCGTGGGCCCGAAGATGCCCAAGACAGAGGAGCGGGTCACTGTGGAGGGCACCCCCTGTAAGGCACACACAAGCGGCGACCCTGGCCTCTTCCAAAACTGCAGACAGACTGGCTGCCATGGAAAGCCCCGGGCAACCCAGCACCACTCAAAGGGGAAGAGTGCTTACCTGGCCCAGCAGCGCTGATGAGCAGCAGGCTCCTACCCGGCCGGAGCCTGACCCTGCCCACCCAACTGGGCATACGCAAAGGTGCATTTCTCAGGGACGCCGGTAGGCGGCACAGGTGAGAGAGTTCGGGGAACCCCAGCCACCTTGGGGGCAGGGGTCCTCTACCCCCATGGGGAAACGGGACCCTTTCCCCCATGGGGCAACTGGGCCCTCTTCCCCTTGGGGGAACGGTCAATCCTCCCCCTGAGTGACACCTGCACCCTCCTCTCGCACTGAAACCCCCAGGGGCAGGTCGTGCGCTCGAAGATGCCCTAGACGGAGGGGCGGGGTCACTGTCAGGGAGGGCACCCCCTGTAAGCCACAGACAAGTGGCGACCGCGGACTCTTCCAAAACTGCAGAGAGACTGGCCGCCATGGAAAGCCCCGGGCAACTCAGCACCACTCAAAGGGAAGAGTCCTAACCTGGCCCCGCAGTGCTGATGAGCACCAGGCTCCATTCCCGGCCGGAGCCTGACCCCACCCACCCGACTGGGCATACGCAAAGGTGCATTTCTCAGGGCCTCTGGTAGGGGGCGGTTTTGAGTGGGTCGGGGACCCCAAGCCCTCTTGTGGGCAGTGGTCCTCTACCCCCATGGGTACGGGACACTCTTCCCCCATAGGGGAACGGGGCCCTCTTCCCCCTTGGGGGAACGGTAAATCATCCCTCTGGGCACACCTGCACCCTCCTCTCGCACTCACACCCAGATGGGCAGGCAATGCACCCCAAGATGCCCTAGACGAAGGGGCGGGGTGACTGTCAGGGGGGGCACACCCTCTAAGCCACAAAAAAGCGGCGACCACGGCCTCTTCCAAAACTGCAGACATACAGGCTGACACCGAAAGTTCTCGGCAATCCAGCAACATGCAAAGGGGAGGAGTCCTCACTGGCACAGCAGCCCTTATGAACCCCAAGTCCCGCCTTGCCCGGAGCCTGCCCCTGCCCACCCGACTGTGCATCTGCAAAGGTGCATTTCTCAGGGCCACCGGCAGGGAGCGCTGGTGAGGCTGGGTTTCGGGGACCATGAGCCACTTTGGGGGTAGTGGGACCTCTACCCCCATGGGGTAAAGGGACCCTCTTCCCCCATGGGGGAACGGGGAACTCTTCCCCCTTGGGGAACGGTAAATCTTCCCCCTGGGGGACACCTGCACCCTCCTCTCGCACTCACACCCAGACGGCCAGACCGTGAGCCCCAAGATGCCCTAGATGGAGGGGCGGGTCACTGTCAGGGAGGGCACACCCTGCAAGCCACAGACAAGCGGCGACTGCGACCTCTTCCAAAACTGCAGACAGACAGGCCACCATGGAAAGCCCCGGGCAACCCAGCACCACTCAAAGGGGAAGAATCCTCACCTGGTCCAGCAGCGCTGATGAGCACCAGGCTCCGCCCCCGGCCGGAGCCTGACCCCGTCCACCCGACTGGGCATACGCAAAGGTGCATTTCTCAGGGCTGCCGGTAGGGGGCGGTGGTGAGTGGGTTCGGGGATCCCCAGGCCCTTTGGGGGCAGAGGTCCTCTACCCCCATGGGGAAACGAGACCCTCTTCCCCCATGGGGGGACGGGGTCCTCTTGCCCCTTGGGGGAACGATCAATCTGCACCCTGGGGGACATCTGCACCCTCCTCTTGCACTCAAACCTCCAGGGGCCGACCGTGCTCCCGAAGACGCCCTAGACGGAGGTGCGGGGTCACTGTCAGGGAGGGCACCCCCTGTAAGGCACACACAAGGGTCAACCGCGGACTCTTCCAAAACTGCAGACAGACTCGCCGCCATGGAAAGACCCGGGCAACCCAGCACCACTTAAAGGAGAGGAGTCCTCAACTGGACCAGCAGCGCTGATGAGCAGCAGGCTCCTACCCGGCCGGAGCCTGACCCCGCCCACATGACTGCGCATATGCAAAGGTGTATTTCTCAGGGTCGTCGGAATGGGGCGCTGGTGAGTGGGATTGGGACCCTAGCCACCTTGGGGGCAGGGGTCCTCTACACCCAAGGGGAAACAGGACCCTCTTCCTCCATGGGGGAACTGTGCTGCACCCTCCTCCCGCACTCAAACCCCCAGGAACAGGGCTTGCGCCTGAAGATGCCCTAGACGGAGGGGCGGGGTCACTGTCAGGGAGGGCACCCCTTGTAAGGCACAGACAACGTCGACCTCGGCCTCTTCCAAAACTGCAGACAGACTGGCTGCCATGGAAAGCCCCGGCAACCCAGCACCACTCAAAGGGGAAGAGTCCTCACCTGGCCCAGCAGCGCTGATGAGCCCCAGGCACCGCCCCTGGCCAGAGCCTGACACCGCCCACCGGACTCTTCATGCGCAAGGGTGCACTTCTCAGGGCCGCTGCTAGGGGGCGCTGGTGAGGGGGCTCTGAAACAGCCCCCATGGGGGTTGGAGGACCTCTACCCCCTTGGGGAAACGGGACCCTCTTCCCCCATGGGGGAACAGTAAATCTTCCCCTGGGGGCACATCTGCACCCTCCTCTCGCACTCACACCAACAGGGACAGGCCATGCGCCCCAGGACGCCATAGACAGAGGGGTGGTGTCACTCTCAGGGAGGGCACCCCCGGTAAACCACAGACAAGCGGTCCCCCTGACTCTTCCAAAACTGCAGGCAGACATGCCGGCGCGGAAAGCTCAGGCAACCCAGCAAAACTCAAAGGGGAATAGTCCTCACCTGGCCAAGTAGCGCTGAGCCCCAGGCTCCGCCCATGGCAGGAGCCTGACCCTGCCCACCGGACTCTGCATGCACAAAGGTGTACCTCACAGGGCCGCCACAAGGGTGCGCTGGAGAAGGCGTTCGGTGACCCTCAGCCACCACAGGCTGAGGGACCCTCTTCCCCCATGTGGGAACGGGGCCCTCTACCCCCTTGGGGGAACGGTAAATCTTTCCTGCGGGGCACACCTGCACCCTTCTCTCGCACTCACACCACCAGGGGCAGGCCGTGCACCTCAAGATGCCCTAGACGGAGGGGCGGGGTCACTGTCAGGGAGGGCACCCCCTGTAAGCCACAGACAAGGTGACACGGCCTTGTCTCAAACTGCAGACATACTGGCCGCCGTGGAAGCCACGGGCAACCCAGCACCAAAGGGGAAGAGTCCTCTCCTGGCCCAGCAGTGCTGATGAGCCCCAGGCTCCACCCCTGGCCAGAGTATGACCCCGCACACCAGACTGCGCATAAGCAAAAGTGTATTTCTTAGGGCCGCCGGTAGGGGGCGCTGTTGAGGGGGTTCGGGCACCCCCAGCCCCCTTGGGGGCAGGGGGACCTCTACCCCCATGTGGAAACGGGACCCTCTTCCACCATGGGGGACCTGGGCCCTTTTCCCCCTTGAGGGAACGGTAAATCTTCCCCATGGGCGTCACCTGCACCCTCTTATCGCACTCACACACCCAGGGGCAGGCCGTGTGCACGAGGAAGCCTTAGACGGAGGGGAGGGGTCACTGTCAGGGAGGGCACCCCTTGTAAGCCACAGACAATCGGCGACCCCGGCCTCTTCCAAATCTGCAGTCAGGGGACGCGGAAAGCCCCGGGCATCCCAGCACCACTCAAAGCGGAAGAGTCCTCATTTGACACAGCAGCACTGATGAGCCCAGGCTGCGCCCCTGGGTGGAGTCTGAGCCCGCCCACCCGACTGCACATAAGCAAAGGTGCATTTCTCAGGGACGCCGGTAGGGGGCGCTGGTGAGGTGTTTCTGGGACCCTCAGCCCCTTGGGGACAGGGGCACCTCTACCCCCATGGGGAAAGGGGACCCTCTTCCCCCATGGGGGACCGGGGCCCTGTTCCCTCTTGGGGAAGGGTAAATCTTCCCCCTGGGGGACACCTGCACCCTCCTCTCGCACTCACACCCCCAGGGGCAGGCCGTGTGCCCGAAGTCGCCCTAGACGGAGGATTGGGGTCACTGTCAGGGAGGGTACGCCCTGTAAGCCACAGACAAACCCCGACCGTGGCCTCTTACAAAACTGCCTACAACAGGCTGCCGTGGAAAGCCACGGGCAACCCAGCACAACTCAAAGGGGAAGAATCCTCACCTGGCCCAGCATTGCTGATGAGCTCCAGGCTCCGCCCCCAGAGAGCCTGACCCCGCCCACCCGACTGCACATGCGCAAAGGTGCATTTCTCACCACTGCCGCTAGGGGCGCTGGTGGAAGTTTTCAGGGGCCCTCTTCCCCCTTTCGGGTCCATGAACCTCTACCCCCATGGGGGAACGGGGACCTATACCCCCTTGCGGAACGGGCCCTCTTCCCTCTTGGAGACACCTGCGCCCTCAGGGGCAGGCTTTGCGCCCCAGAGACACCCTAGGAAGAGGGGAGAGGTCACTGTCAGGGAGGACACCCCCTGTAGCCACAGACAAGCGGCAAGCCACGGCCTCTTCCCAAACAGCAGACAGGCAGGCACACGAACCCCAGGGCAACCCATCGTCACTCAAGAGGAAGAGGCCACACCTAGCCCAGCAGCGCTGATGAGCCCCAGGCTCCGCCCCCCGGGGGAGCCTGACCCCGCCCACCTGACTGTGCATGCGCAAAGGTGCCTTTCTCAGCACTCCGGTAGGTGGCGCTGGTGGGAAGGTTTCGGGTGCCCTCTTCCCCCTTGTGGGTCCGGGAACCTCTATCCCCGTGGGAGAACGGGGACCTATACCCCCTTGTGGGAACGGGACCCTCTTGCCCCGTGGGCACAGCTACACCCTGTGCTCTAACTCACACCCAAGGGGTCAGGCTGTGCATCCCAAGACGCCCTAGGTGGTGGGGAGGGTCAATGTCATGGAGGGCACCCCCTATAGCCCAGACAAGCGGTGAACCGCAGCCTCTTCCGAAACAGCAGACAAGCCGGCACGGGAAGCACCAGGCAACCCAGCATCACTCAAGCGTAGAAGGCCACACCTGGCCTGGCAACGCTGATGAGGCCCAGGCTCCATCCCCGTGGGGAGCCTGACCACGCCCACCCAACTACGCATGCGCAATGGTGGATAGCTCAACACGAGGTAGGGGGCGCTGGAGGGTGGTGTTGGGCGCTGGTGGGAAGGTTTCGGGGGCCCTCTTTCCCTGGGGCATCCGGGCCTGAAATCCCCTTGGGGGTACGGGTACCTGTACTCCCTTTAGGGAACGGGGTCGTCTTCCCCCTTGGAGATACCTGCACATTCAGCTCTCACTCGCACCCTCAGGGGCAGGCTGTGTGCTCTGGATATGTCCTAGACAGAGTGGCGGTGTCACTGTCAGGGAGGACTCCACCTGTTTCCACAGACAGCAGCGAGCTGCAGCCTCTACCAAACAGCTGTCAGGCCAGAGCGCGAAGCCCTGGGCAACCCACCATCACTCAAGGGGAAAAGGCCATACCTGGCCCGGCAGCGCTGATGAGACCCAGGCTCTGCCCCCAGGGGTGCCTGACACCGCCCACCCGACTGCGCATGTGCAAAGGTGCATTTCTCAGCACTGCCGGCAGGGGGCGCTGTTGGGAGGGGTTTGGGGGGCCACTTCCCACTTGGGAACCTCTGGGAACCTCTGGTTCCCTCTGGGAACCTCTACCCCCATGGGGGAAACGGGGCCCTCTTCCCCCTTGGGGGAATGGGACCCTATTGCCCCGTGGGGACACCTGCACCCTCTGCTTTCACACCCTCGGGGGCAGGCTGTGCACCCCAAGACACCCTAGGCTGAGGGGCGGGGTCACTGTCAGGGAGGACATCCCCTGTAGCCCAGACAAGCGGTGACTACGGCCTTTTCCCAAACAGCAGACAGGTCTGCCCGTGAAGGCCCGGGCAACCCAGCATCACTCAAGGGAAAGTGACCACACCTGGCCCAGCAGCGCTGATGAGCCCCAGGCTCCACCCCCGAGGGAGCCTGACACTGCCCAACCGACTGCGCATGTGCAAAGTTGCATTTCTCAGCACTGCCGGAAGGGGGAGCTGGTGGGAGGGTTTCTGGGGCCCTCTTCCCCCTTGGGGGTCCGGGAACTTCTTTCCCCATGGGGGAACGGGGCCATATTCCACTTGGGGAAACGGGACCTTATTGCACCTTGGGGACACCTGCACCCTCCACTCTAACACACACACACGGGGGCAGGCTATGTGCCCCAAGACGCCCTCAGCAGAGGGGCGGGTTCAGTGTCATGGAGAGCACCCACTGTAGTCCAGACAAGCGGCGAACCGCGGCCTCTTCCCAAACAGCAGACTGGCCGGCGAGGGAAGCCACGGGCAACCCATCGTCACTCAAGCGGAGAAGGCCACATCTGGATCGGCAGCGCTGATGAGCCCCAGACTCCGTCCCGGGGAGAGCCTGACCCCGCCCACCCGACTGAGCAAGGGCAACAGTGCATTTCTCAGCACTGCCTGCAGGGGCCGCTGGAGGGAGGGGTTGGGTACTGGTGGGAGGTGTTTTGGGGCACTCTTTCCCCTTGGGGGTCCGGGCCCGAAATCCCATTGCGGGTATGAGTACCTGTACTCCCTTGAGGGAACGGGGCCCTCTTCCCCCTTGGAGACACCTGCGCCCTCAGCTCACACTCACACCCTCAGGGGCAGACTGCATGCCCCGGAGATGCCCTAGGCAGAGGGGCGGGGTCACTGTCAGGGAGGACACCACCTGTAGCCACAGACAAGCAGCGAGCCGTGGCATCTTCCCAAACAGCAGACTGGTCGACGCGTGAAGCCCTGGGCAACCCTCCATCACTTTAGGGGAAATGGCCTCCCTTGGCCCAGGAGCGCTGATGAGCCCCAGGCTCCGACCCCCGGGGTAGCCTGACCCCGCCCACCCGACTACGCATGCCCAAAGGTGCATTTCTCAGAGCCGCCAGTAGGGGGCGCTCTTGGACGGCGAGAGGGGCCCTAAGCCCCCTTGGGTGTTGGGGGCCCGAAATCCCCTTGAGCGTACATGGACCTGAACTCCTTTGAGGGAATGGTGCCATCTTCCCCCTTGTAGACACCTGCGCCCTCAGCTCTCAGTCACACACTAAGGGGCAGGCTGTGCACACCGGAGACGACCTAGGCAGAGGGGCAGGGTCACTGTCAGGGAGCACACCCCCGTAGCCATAGACAAGCGGCAAACTGTGGCCTAATTCCCTAACAGCAGACAGGCCGGTGTGAGAAGCCCTGGGCAACCCACCATAACTCAAGTGGAGAAGGCCACACCTGGCCCGGCAGCACTGATGAGCCACAGGCTATGTCCCAGGTGGGATCCTGACCCCGCCCAAGCGACTGTGCATGTGCAAAGGTGCATTTCTCAGAGCCGCCGGTAGGGGGCGCTCGTGAGGGGGCGTCAGAGGCGCTAAGCCCCCTTCGAGGTCTGGGGCCTGAAATCCCCTTGAGGATACGTGGACCTGTACTCCCTTGAGGGAATGGGGCCCTCTTCCCCCTTGCAGGAACGGGACCCTCTTGCCCTTTGGGGACACCTGCACCCTCCGCTCTCACTCACACCCACGGGGGAAGGCTGTGTGCCCCAAGATGCCCTAGGCGGTGGGGCGGGGTCACTGTCAGGGAGGACAACCCCTGTTGCCCAGATAAGCGGTGACCACGGCCTCTTCCCAAGTAGCAGACAGGCGTGCCTGTGAAGGCCCAGGCAACCCAGCATCACTCAAGGGGAAGAGGCCACACCTGGCCCGGCCGCGCTGATGAGCCCCAGGCTCCGCCCCTGGGGGAGCCTGACCCCGCCCACCCGACTGCACATGCACAAAGGTGCATTTCTCAGCACTGCCAGTAGGGGGCGCTGGGGTGAAGGGTTCGTGGGCCCTCTTGCCCCTTCGAGGTCTGGGAATCTCTACCCCAAAGGGGGAATGGGGCCCTATACTCCCTGGGGTGAACGGGGTCCTCTTCCCTCTTAGGGGAATGGGACCCTCTTGCCCCTTGAGGTCACCTGCACCCTCCGCTCTCACTCACACCCACGAGGGCAGGCTGTGCACCCCAAGACGCCCTAGGTGGATGGGCGTGTTCACTGTCATTGAGGGCACTCCCTATAGCCCAGACAAGCGGTGAGCCGCGGCCTCTTCCTAAACAACAGACAGGCCGGCGCGAGAAGCCCCGGACAACCCAGCATCACTCAAAGGGAGAATTCCACACCAGGATGAGCCCCCGGCTCCACTCCTGGCTGGAGCCTGACACCGCCCACCCTACAGCGCATGCGCAAAGGTGCATTTTTCAGCACTGCCGGTAGTGGGTGCTGGTGGGAGGGGTTCGGGTGCTCTCTTCCCCTTTGGGGGTCCGGGAACCTATACCCCCATGGGGGAACGGTGACCTATACCCCCTTGTGGGAACGGGACCCTCTTGCCCCTTGTGTACACCTGCACCCTCCTCTCTCACTCACACCCACGGGAGCAGGCTGGGCGCCCCGAGACACCCTAGGCAGAGGTGCGGGGTCACTGTCAGGGCGGGCACCCCCTGTAGCCATAGACAAGCGGCAAACCGCGGCCTCTTCCCAAACAGCAAACAGGCCGGCGCGTGAAGTCCCGGGCAACCCAGCATGACTCAAGGGGAAAAGGCCAAACCTGGCCCAACAGCACTGATGAGCCCCAGGTCCGCCCCGGGGGGGGGGGGGTGCGAGCCTGACAATGCCCACCTGACTGCGCATGCGCAAAGGTGCATTTCTCAGAGGCACCGTATGGGGCACTGGTCAGAGGGTTTCGGGGGCCCTCTTCCCCCTGGGTGTCCGGGGCCCGAAGCCCTCTTGGGGGTCCGGTGACCTGTACCCCCTTGGGGGAACGGAGCCCTCTTCCACCTTGGTGGAATGGGACCCTATTCCATCTTGGGGACACCTGCACCCTCCGCTCAAACTCACAACCCCAGATGCAGGCTGTGTGCCCCGAAGATGCCCTACGCGGAGGGGCGGGGTCACTGTCAGGGAGGACACCCTCTCGTAGCCAGAGACAAGCGGCGACTGCAACCTCTTCCCAAACAGCAGACAGGCCGGCGCGAGAAGCCTTGGGCAACCCAGCATCACTGAAGAGGAAAAGGTCTCATGTGGCCCTGCAGCGCTGAGGAGGCCCAGGTTCCGCCCCCGGGGGGTGTCGGTCCCCGCCCACCTGAATGTGCATGCGCAAAGGTGCATTTCTCAGAACCGTCGGTAGGGGGCGCTCTTGGTAGGTGTTGGGGGCCCTCTGCCCCCTTGGGGGAACGGGGACCTCTTCCCACTTGTGGACACCTGCACCCTCCACTCTCACTCACACCCCTGTGGGCAGGCTGTGCACCCCGAAGACGCCCTTAGGCGGAGGGGCGGGGGTCACTGGGAATTCCATTATATGCAGTGACTTTTAAGATTCCGCATTGGGAACTGTGTTTATTTCACTCAGTTTCCAGTGCAGAAGAACATAGGAGTTGCTCTTTTCACTCTTTTCACTTCACTTTGTACTCTGTTACTGCAGTTTCCTTTGAGTTTCAGCATCACTGGCAGTAGTGCAGATCTTAGGGAGTTAGAGCGCCTACGTTTTTTTTTCCTATCTCCAGTGACTTTTCAGAGTCCCAATTGGGAACTATGAGAATTTTACTTAGATTGGAGAGCGGAATCACATTTTGAGCACTTGCCATTCAACTCTGAACTGTGAGTCTGAGTGCTGTTTCCATGGAGAGTCACCATTACCGGCCATAGTGCCCTTAGCAGGCAGTTATATAGCACTTGGGATTTCCCTCATATGCTGTGATTTTCAAGAGTCTGCATTGGGAAGTGTGTTTATTTCACTCAGTTTCCAGGGTGGAATCACTAGGTGTTGCTCTTTTCAATCCACTTTGAACTCTGCTAGTTAGTGCAGTGTCCATGGTGATTCAGCATTATCACCATTAGTGCTGTTTTGCAGGCAGTTAGAGCACTTGAGATTTTCGTCATCCCCAGTACCTTTTAAAGTCCGCTTTGTGAACTGTGTGTATTTCACTCAATTTCCAGTGCAGAAGAACATAGGAGTTGCTCTTTTCAGTACACTTTGAACTCTGTGTTACTGCAGTTTCCATTGAGATTCAGCATCACTGGCAGTAGTGCTGTTCTGCAGGGAGTTAGAGCGCCTAAGTTTTTTTTTTTTTTTTAATCTCCAGTGAATTTTCAGAGTCCCAATTGGTAACTATGAGTATTTTACTCATATTGCATGGCGGAATCACATGTTGTAGCACTGACCACTCAACTTTGAACTGTGTGTCTGAGTGCCATTTCCATGGAGAGTCACCATTACCAGCAATAGTACTATTTTGCAGGCAGTTACAGCACTTGGGATTTCCCACATATGCAGTGACTTTTAAGAGTCCGCATTGTGAACTGTGTTTATTTCACTAAGTTTCCAGGGCGGAATCACTAGGAGATGCTCTTATCACTACACTTTGAACTCTGCTAAATAGCGCAGTTACCATGGTGATTCAGCATTACCGCCATGAGTGCTGTTTTGCTGACAATTAGAGCACCTGAGATTTCGACATCCCCAGTCACTTTTAAATTCTGCTGTGTGAACTCTGTATTTCACTCAGTTTCCAGTGCAGAAGAACATAGGTATTTCTCTTTTCACTCCACTTTGAACTCTGTGTGTTACTGCAGTTTCCATTGAGATTCAGCATCACTGGCAGTAGTGCCATTCTGTAGGGAGTTAGAGCGGCTACGTTTTTTCTTATCTCCAGTGAATTTTCAGAGTCCCATTGGGAACTATGAGTATTTTACTCAGATTGCAGGGCCGAATCACATTTTGTAGCACTTGCAACTGAATATTGAACTGTGAGTCTGAGTGCAGTTTCCATGTTGACTCACCTTTACTGGCCATAGTGGCATTTTGCAGGCAGTTACAGCACTTGGGATTTTCCTCACATCCAGTGACATTCAAAAGTACTCACTGGGAACTGTGTTTATTTCACTCAGTTTCCAGGGCAGAATCACTAGGTGTTGCTCTTTTCACTCCACTTTGAACTCTGCTAGATAGTAAAGTGTCCATGGTGATTCAGCATTATCGCCATTAGTGCTGTTTTGCAGGCAGTTAGAGCACCTGAGATTTTTGTCCTCTCCAATAACTTTTAAAGTTCGTTTTGTACACATATGTAGTGGGACTCTTCAACACACCACTATCAACAATGGATAGATCAATGAGACAAAAAATAAGTAAAGACACTAAAGCTCTAAATAAAGATCTAGAGAGCTTGGGCTTAACAGACATCTATAGAACACTAAATCCCCGCAAAAAAAACTGAGTACACATTTTTCTCAAGAGCACATGGATCTTTCTCGAGGATCGATCACATACTGGGACACAAGACAAACAATAGCAGATACACTAAGATTGAAATAATACCAACCATCTTTTCTGACCATGAAGGCATCAAACTAGAAATAAACCATAAAAAGAAGGCAAGGAACTCTCCTACCTCATGGAGATTGAAACCCAAACTACTGGAAGACCACTGGACTAACGAGGAAATCAAAGAAGAAATTTAAAATATTCTTTGAATTGAATGACAAGGAGGACACCAATTTCCTAAATATATGGAATGCAGCAAAATCAGTAATAAGAGGAAAATATATAGCAATAGAGGCTCACATCAAGAAACAAGAAAGAACTCAAAGGAACAACCTAATCTAGAAGCTCAAAGACCTGGAAAAAGAACAACAAAAAAACCCCAAAACCAGTAGAAGAAAAGAAATAATAAAAACCAAAGCAGAAATAAATGAAATCAAAACTAAAAAAACAATCCAAAAGATCAATGAAACCAAGAACTGTTCTTTGAAAAAATGAATAAAATAGACAAACCCCTAGCCAGGCTCACAAAGGAAAAAAGGGAGAAAGCACAAATAAACAGGATCACAAATGAAAGAGGAGAAATCACAACGGACACAGCAGATTTCAAAAGAATAATCAGTAACTACTATGAACAGTTATATGGAAAGAAGTTCAACAATCTAGAGCAGATGGACAAATTCCTACAACTCTACAATCACCCAAATCTAGATAAAGAAGAAATAGAACACCTAAACAGACCAATTAGAAGCAGTGAAATTGAAATGGCAATCAAAAACCTCCCCAAAAATGTAAGTCCAGGACCTGATGGATTTAACTAAATGAATTCTACCTAACATTCAGAAACAAATTGGTGCCTATCCTCCACAAACTTCCAAAAAATTGAGAAGGAAGGGATAATGCCAAACACGTTCTATGAAGCCAACATTACAGTAATACCAAAACAGAAAAAGGACAACACAAAAAAAGAAAACTACAGGTCTATCTCGCTAATGAATACTGAAGCAAAAATTCTCAATAAAATTTTAGCTGTCACAATCCAACAATGTATCCATAAGATAATTCACCACGACCAAGTAGGATTCATTCCAGGGACACAAGGATGGTTCCACATCAAAAATCAATCAACATTATCCAACACATCAACAAAAAAATATAAAAACAATATGATAATATCAATAGATGCTGAGAAAGCTTTCGACAAAGTACAACACCCATTCATGAAAAAAGACCTTGAAATTCTTGGGATACAAGGAACATACCTCAACATCATAAAGGTCATATATGACAAGCCAACAGCCAGTATCATTCTCAATGGTGAAAAGCTGAAAGCATTTCCATTAAAATCTGGAACAAGACAAGGATATCGACTCTCACCACTGCTTTTCAATATAATACAGGAA